AGTCTAGACCCTGGCAGTGGGAAAGTCTGTCTGGTGCAAATGAGAGCTAGCAGGGATAAGAGGGCGAGTCCTGGAGAGAATGAAATGCCCTGGAATCATAGGGTATAGGTACGGGCAAAGGCTTGCAAATGAGAACTCGGAAAGAACATTTCCAAGAGCGGGTGAATTTCCCACTGATCACTGTCTTTTTTTTTTTTTCTTTCTTTTAGAAAGAGATTTGAAGGATGAAGACCAGCTCTGGGTGATAGACAGGAGTGGCCATGGGATATCTCCAGATCCAGTGTATTTCTAGAATATCATTTTTCTGGCATGTTTGGGAAACTAGAGTTGAGCATTTTGATAGCAAACAAAAGACATCTATGTAATAGAGAGTAAGGGTGCTGTGGGGGAAATCATACTGTGCCCTACTCAGAAAAATACGGGAAGAAAACTATCCTACCGGGATCTCAGACTGGGTTAGGTCATGTGTGTGTTTGTGGGAATGCATGTGAGTGTGGCATGTGTCTGCACACACACACACACACACACACACACACACACACACACACACACGTGTTAAGGGTGCAAGCTGTGCTCTTGTGCATGTATACAGAGGCTAGAGGAAGACATTAGGTGTCATGATCAATCAATCACTCGCCACTTTACTCCCCTGGGCCATGGTCTCTCACTGAGATAGGAGATAGGCTGGCAAGCAGCAAAACCCAGGGAGCCTTCTATCTCCATTCTCCATAGCACTGGGTTTAGAGGCTTGCACCATAACACTCACCATTTTACGTGGGTCCTGAGGGTCACACTTGTGAAATAAGCCTTCTTACCTGATGAGCCGTCTCCTGAGCCTATAGGGGTGAAGTGTTTTTACATATATTCTCTATTCACTTTGTCTTATAAAGGCTCTACAAACATCTTCATAATTTCCATTATGGAAATAAAGAAGCATAGATTTGGAAAGGCCTTGTAATGTCTCATAGACACACAGCCAAAAATATGGATTTTAAGCCAAGTACACCCCCTGTTAAGTTCTTGCCAAAACTGCAATAGTAAAGCAGCCCCACATCTGCTTCAAACACTTTCTGCTTCCAAATCACCTTCAATATGTTTAGTGTGACTTTATTTTTGATAGTTGTGTGAGGAAAGGAGACATCGTAAATTATAATTTGCACTTATGCACTGCCAATTTTATAGGTGGCAAAACTCAGGAACATCATGGCCAAGGTTACACATCATGAAGAGGAGAGAAGGGCGGCTGACACAAGTCATATTCTACCAGGTCCTTAATTGCGCTGGGTTGCCCTGAAACATGGGTATGCTTTGAGCCATCCCAGTCACAATTCCATAACATAGTTCCATCCCTGGATTGTATTGCTCTGAGTGTTCAGGAACCTAAAACTAAGCAAGTTACTCATCTTTCCTATAGAGCCTAAGTGGAAAGCCAGACATGACCATCATAGTCACAGAGAAGTACAGGAATCTCTGATGAGCACACCTTACACCAGTGTATAAGATACCATATTCTATCATCAGTTTGCTGCTTTAATAGTTTACTTCATCTTTAAGAAAAAAAGTAAGGTTTATGATACTCATTTTTTTTTTACAATGGGTGATATTAGAAAATTCATGGCGCACAAAAATATGTGTTTTATTAATGACATGAATTGCTTAACCTATAGAACAAAATTCAAACTTAGGTCTAACATTAAGTGTTATAAAAGTTCACATTGGAGACACTGGTGCATTTGCTAATGAAGTGACCTGGAAATAATTGTTTCCCATTACCAATGAATTGTTATTTTATCACATAACTAAGATCTATTAGTTTTCCAATGCATGTCTATTCCATATTACGTCTTATTGAAAAGCAATAAAGACAGTATTATAGTAGTAGAATTAGGATTTCTGTGATAAATCTTTGTCTTTTTTTTTTTTAACAGTTTTAACTCCTGATTTATCAGTTTAAAATTGTTTCTAATGATTTGGGCATTAATTTGTGATTTCTGAAACCAAGTACTAAGACTCAGCTAACTTACACTATAGTATTAGTGATGGGAAAGATCTTAGTTTTAACCTTAGGGGAACTATACATATGTACATTCTTTCAGATATGTATTGTGTCGTATATGTGATTCAAGATGACTGTTATATTTGAAATACCTTTAAAAAGATGAAAAGAATCCACATTCACAGCAGCTGCACCAGAAAAGGTAAAAATAAAAAAAAATACACATAGACTCACAGCAAAAGAAAAGCATGTTGTGCTCAGTTCCTGGTGTAATTTCTTATGAAGGATACCATATACATTGGGATGAATCAAGACAGAATAAGGAAGGTAAGTTAGCTCATGGCTGAGCAACTCTTCTCTATGGAGCAGAAGTAAGGGAATATCTACTCAGATAAGAAAAACAAATGAACACAACCTTCTTCTCTCTTTCAATAATTTAATGACTGGGAGGTTAGGAACATTTGAATTCCAGAGCATGTCTTAGAGGGGGTTTCTGAGGTGCCAGGTTCAGAAAGGGCTTGGTGTTTAATGACTTGCTGAATGGGCTAGAACGGAATAGGGTGCTTTATATGACCAAAGCAAGCCTGGCAAGGAACTGATCAGCTTGAAGTATGGTGGGAGCCATGAAAGAAGAGATTAGAATCCTGTGTTGGCCTCAGTAAAAGATGCCCTGTAGTCAGAGATGAAGTCGGGAAATACCAAATACCAAATCCAACAGTCCTGACCCACTTTTCCCCACCAGTACATGTTACCTTGACAGTGTCTGCTAACTCTCCCTCACCCTCACCCATGCTGTTCAGATTCTAGCAGGAATTTGATGGGAGTATATAACTTTTCAGGGGAGAAAAGGAGGGAACGAGAGTGTTAAGATGAAAATAATTTGAAAGAGAGAACTATGGCTCATCCAGTAAGCACAAGATTCTCCATCATAGCTTAAACTTATCAATTCCACAAGGAGAGAATTATGATCTAATGAGGCCACATCTAGATGAAAATATCTGTGAAGAAAAAAAAAAAAAAAAAGAGGCATTGCTAGCACTGGGGAGTTGAGCTGGGACTAAGCCAGCTAGGTTTTGCACTGGTTTCTGGACACAACTGTGGAATGATCTGGAAACTGGATCTTTAGATATAACAGGAAATGATCCAAATCCAAGTTTCCAATTGTTTGCACACCTGAAGGTTCGTGCTTTCTCCCTAATTTTGCAAAAATGACAATTTCTCCGGTGGATTTATTTGCTTGGCATTTTTTGTTGACAGCGTATGGGACACAGATGGCAGTCCTGATTGCTGTTTTAGAAGGAAGCAGACGGGGCAGCAACACACACAAGGAGCATTGAAGACGGCATCTTGAGTCAGTTATCTTGGCTTTATTATGATCATTGGTGAGGATTAAACTTTGGAGCAACTCTAGGCTAGTGGTTCTCAAGCTGTGCCACACATGAAAATCACCCAGAAGGTTCATTAAAACGTTGCTGTATTCAACCCAGACTTTCTGATTCAAGAGGTCTGAGGTGAGGTCCCAGAATCGGCATTTCTAACAAGTTCCCAGGTCAGACTGTTTCTCCTGGTCCCAGAACCGCCTTTGAGAACCACTACTTACGATCAATGGTGATTCCTAGCTTTGGCTACATCTGCTTTTAATTAAAAGATGGCGACCTCTTCCCCACATCCTCCATCTCTCCAGATGTTAACTTCATTATACAGGATCCATGCCTGGTGCCCTCTGATTAAACTGCCTCAGTGGACTCAACTAAGCATTTCCCATGAAGACCACCCGGAAGTCTCAGAAGGTCCTAAGTCTTTTTTTTTTTTTTTTTTTTTTTTTTTTTTAAATCTGTGTCAAATAAGGGACACACAATGGTTCACAGACATTGCAGAATTGTGGTTTTGGTTTCCTTAAAACTTACTTTCTCTGAAAAACTTCCTAGCAACTAAGATATTGTCTCTTCTGTAAATGATACCCAGATTTATAATTTTGACAGTCTTTTTAGAGCAAGAATCTCAGTTTCCAGAGATCCATTCACTAGAACAGCAGAATAATCCCTAGATAGATTGCTACTGAAAGTGAAAAAAGGAATTATTAAGAATTAGATTTAAATGTACTGCTTTGTACACAAATTTATGCATAGATATTTAAAATAATTATTTACTGTGACCTAAGAGTTTAAGCAGCTACAAGCGACTAACCACAATAAATAAATAAATAAAAACCTGGTCGTGTAATCTTAGTTAGAATTATAATGTGCTTTTAAAATTGAATCCAAATCTAGGAAGCAAATAATTACGAGGATTTTAATAATTTCTTGTCATTTGTGAAGACATCCACTTAATGACTAAAAGTAGAAAGAAATTAATTATCTATAAACTCAATGTCCTTACTTTTCTGAAGAAAAAAAATGTAGTTGTATGTGTTTATATGATTAAACAAGGAGAATGAGTTATATGTAAAGAGCAACCAAATATATGTATATCATACATACTCAGAGATTATGACCAAGCAGATATTAATACTTTAATTCAATACTTTTTATCTAGCTGTATTTTACTAAAGACCTAGGGCAGGGTAATGAATAAAATCTGCTCCCAGCCTACATTAGATACTATGGTTGAAATGGCGAACACTGAGCATCACACACCTACCTAATGTACTTCCAACATTTGAGAGGCCTTTCAGGGAAAAGACAGTGTAACACACAGCTTTCTTATGGGCATCTTGAGGAATTTGCCTAGGAAGTGTTGACCTTGGTTTCAACAACATTGCTTTTTTAAATACAACACATTGCACAGAGTAAATACTTAACATGATGCCCATGCTGAGTTCCATTACAGAATGATGATCATTGACTTTCTTTAGAAACTCTACATTAAAAAACAGTGGCATCCTAAACCAACAGTTCTCAACCTGTGGATCAAGACCCCCATAAGGGTGACATATCAGATATCCTGCATATAAGATGTTTATATCATGATTCATAACAGTAGCAAAATTATAGTTACTAAGTAGCAGGAAAATAATTTTATGGTTGGAGGTCACCACAACCTGAGGAACTATATTAAAGAGTCACAGTATTAGGAAGATTGAGAACAACTATCCTAAATAATAAATGTCATGATGGCTGTTTTTCTTCAGTTTATAAACAACTTAGTGTTCTTATTTCTACTTGTAAAGTTGCTCTCAGAAATGAATTTCTAGAGCAGCCAATTTTCCAGCCATCTTTTCGGAAGCTGCTGCTGAGGGCTTTGAAAACTGCAGCCATGCCCTCCGGTGACAGGACCCCTTCAGAGCTTCACTTCAGTCTGTTCACTCAGTCATTAAGCATATGGGGAGAGAATGACATCTGCAGGCTGTGGTGCGGACTTTTCCTGTTTGACACCACAGAAGGACACCAACTTCACTTTGTAATTAACCAACATAAGCAGGAAAGGACTCAGAGCGGAGAAGCCGGAGGAGAGGGCTGTGAGAACAGCTGGAATAAATGCATACACTGCCAAGTCCTTCAAGAAATAGACCAAGATAAAGTGAGAAATCCAGAGCGGAGTGATCAGTAACATTAACAAGATACTGAATTTGGCCCCTCGAAGGACCTCGGTTTCTGAATCATCGTCTCCAATCCAGATGTCACCATATGTCATCTTTTTCTTCTCTAAAAGAAGGAAAGCCATCCAGAAACAGACAAAGACTAAGACAGCTAAAGGAAGAATATCGATCAAAACTAAAAATATTTTCCCATAGTAAAGCTCTACCTGCTCGTTTCCAAAGCCGGTCAAGCAATCCACGTAAATTCTGTTAGTAGACAAAGAGCCTGTATCATTTACAGGATTCTGGTGTTCTGGTTTTCTAGTATATATCAACACTGGGATATACACCGCCACACCAGCCACCCAAAGTGCAGAAATCCCCTTCAAGGAGTACTTTTGTTGGCTCAGGCTTGCAGCCCCGCTCAAGGGGTAGACGATTTGGTAAAGCTTCCGGAGGTAGAGCAGCGCAAAGTGTAACATGAACCAGATGGCCAGGGAAGTTGTCAGGGCCGCAGTGAAGTGCAGAACTTTGCAGCCAACTGAATCCAGCAAGATACCAGAAGAGTAAACGATCTTGAGGATGTTCACCACCAGGTTTTTAATAAGGTGGACAAACACAAGGCTGATAATGAGAAGAAAGGATGTCTGCAGGCCCCCCGTGATGCACTTGCTTGTGGAATAAAATAAACATGCGTTTCCGACGAAGCTCACGAGGATGAGAACGGCACAGGAGATGATCTCAAGCGCGTCTGCAGAGGGCTTCATGGCAGATGCTGAACCGTGACTCCAAATATCTTCTCTGCAACTTCGTTCATCAGGCTTTCAGAACTCTGTACGAGGTCTTCACTGACACCAGCTGAGCGTTTTCTGTCCCCGCTAGGTTGACAAAATCCTTCCTTGGTACACTGTCACTGTTTCGGCGTAGTCCGTGGCAGAATTCTGCTTGCTTCAGTGACCAGCTGTTGAAAATAGACCTGCTTCCCAAGAGAGGTCTGTTTTATCCTCTCCAGGGACTTTTAACAGTGACGAGAAAGGCACAGGCGGCACCGTGTAATTAAAAATTCCCAGAAATGTATTTATAGTGTTGCCATACCTAAATATGTCATTCCTTTCTAGGTATGATCAGTGTCCACCAACCATAAAGAAGAGATTAAATTGTTGACAGTGAAGGAAAGGTAGCCAGAGGTTGAACTCATCACACTTGATGCATGGCAAAAAGTCTAAAGAATGAACAAGGCAGATTTCAAAATATCAAAGTGACAAATTACGAATGGGAGTAAGACCATGGGGGAGAGAGAGATTACACAAGAACATGTGGTGGTTTAACTTCTCGACCATTTGTGCATCTTTTCAGAACGTCACCTGTTGTGATGAGCTCTGGGGATACAAGAGAAGATGGAGGAAATGTTGGGGAAGACAGCAGATGGAAAGAAAGCAGGGAGAAGCGATCGAGGGAGAAGAAGGAAGGCAAATAAACATGGGATTTATGCCCACAATCAATCCTCCCAATTTGTTAACAACGGGGCAGTGATTAGTGCAACTCTCTCTCCTAGAGCACAAGGTGTGGAATGATTTCTCCCCTAGAGGTGGAGGGAGAGCATTAAGCAAGGGCAAGAACATGACACACATACATACATATCTACCTGCCATTAATGCACATGTTGGGTGAATTCTTGTTTCTCAACTAGGTCACTACGTTCATGTATCATTTACCGGAGGAGATACGTTCTGAGAAATGCTGTTAGGTGGTTTTGTCATTGTGAGTGCATGACAGAGTGATTGCACAAACTGAGACAGATGTGATGGGATCCCTCCTTGAGCCAAGCTGTCATGCTGAGTGTACAGCTGTACTTTCCCTGTACTGAAATTGTTTGTGGGTCCTGTCATCAATCATCCCACCCCGTACTGTCAAAACATGTGCCACTGCCTGATCAAGTGGTACATTGCAACTGGCTGGTACAGGCTTGAGCACCTGACTTCATTTCTTCTAAACTCTGTGTTCAGTGGCTTCTTGATGAGAGCTTACAGTTAGCTAGGATATATACATACATATGTGTATATATTCATATATATAAATATAATATAATGAATATAATCAAATACAATGATATAAAACTAGAAGATATCACAAATCTAGTGTTTTTTTTTTTCAAGGAAAAGCTCCTTTCAACTTTTTTAGTATAGCGTTGGTCAAACAGAAATTACAGATTACAAAGGTAGGGAATTAGCTGATACCTCATCTACCTAATGATAAAGCCAGTGTTTGTCATCTCCCAGTCTTTTCCTCAAAGGTATGGGAAATGCCTAGTGTGTATATGATAAGAAGTTTATGACAGTGTCTGGGCCCCATAATCCATGAAAATGGGAAAGAGGCTGGGAGCTGACACTTTCCTATTAACTCCATTTTCCTTAATTGATTGCTAAAATAATAGAGAACTTAGTGTTTACAGTAAATTTTCTTTCCTTAGAAACCTCAGTCATTGTCAGGTATAAGCATCCACCTTGTTTCTAACAATGATAGCAATATAAGTAATAACAACCATGATGCTTATGCATTATTATAAAGGTATAAAATTAACTTACCACCAACTTAAACAGAGTATACTCTCTTGCTTTGCAAACTTAATATGATTTAATCCTTAATATCATTCTCATTTCAGTAATGAGAAAATAGAAGATGAGAGAGCAAATTGTTCAGAGCTACCAAATGAAATGATGTAAATCCAGTGCTATGGTTTGAGTATGAAGCCCCTCCCCACAGTGACCCCTGTGTTGAAGACTTTGTCCCTAGACTCTGGTGCTAAGAGGTATCCAGGAGAGACTGGGAAGATGGTTGAGTTGGTCAAGTGCTTGCCACACAAGCATGAAGACCTGAGTTTGCTCTCTAGTACCCACAGAAAAAGCTGGGCATGGTGGTACAAGCTCAGAGTCCCCACACTGGGTCCCTGGGGCTCCCTGTCCAGCCAGCCTAGCCTAATCAGCAAGCTCCTGACCCGAGCGACAGACTCTATCTAAAAAACAAGGTAGACGGCTCCTCAAGGATGTCTCTTGAGGTTGGCCTCTGGTGTCTACATGTATGAACACACATTTGTATGTGCACCTGCATCCATGCACACATGTGTATACACACACACACACACACACACACACACACACACATTCACAGACATCATCAAGGGATGACCCATTGATGAGTTCATAGTTGAATGGACATATTGGGGGTTGAGTCTCTGACTCCAAATCTGTAAAGTAAAGTAAAAATTTCCTCTATTTAAGTTGTGTTCTCAGTTCTTTTCGTCTAGCAGTGAAAAGCTAACAGCTTGGTGTGACTGGTTCTCATGGCTTCTCTACAAACACTGGCAAACTGGAGATCTTCTGCTGACTATTATTTGCATCTCTTTATTGATTTGCAATTGTTCCATCCAATAGATAGAGCCTATAAATGTACTTCTTTGGGGGAGAGTCTGATGTATACAAGTAACACAGATATTTGAATGGCAGTTAGTATTTTTCTTTCTCTTTCAATATTACTAGGTATGAATGTTTATACCTCCAAACCTCATAAGGAACTCCATGCATTTTGTACACCAGTTTAGGATGCCTTACTTGAAATTAAGAATAAAAAGGCCAGATCCAACAATCATGAGCCCCCACAGTGGGAGTGTTTAAGTATAGATGTAATGATAGGGCGACCATACTCTAGTGAAAAGCCTCACATCCAGGAGTATTTTGGATAGCAAAAATTATCATAAGTAGAGAAAAAGGAATATGGAGTTCAATAAGAAAAGAAGGATGTTGGATCAGGGGAACACCTGGAAGAGGGAGGATAAATATAATCAAGATATGTATGAAATTAGCAAAGAAAAGATTTTTTTTAAAAGAAGGCTCTTAAAGATTTTGAGGTATCTAAAAAAACTCATATTAATCTTGCCAAGTAGCTTATGGACTCCTTTTCCCCATACTAACCTTTAGGAAGATCGTTTTCCCAAGCATGCTTTCTTCCTTTCCATGCCCATAGAAAATTATCCTACGTTCCAGTGTGAATGTTTCACCATTCAGAGATTTCCAGCAAATACTTTCATCAAATTCCATCATAATAAATTCATCAAATCAAAAATTTCCATCCAAATTTTCCATTCTAGTTTATCACTGTTCAGGTCGATCTTCAGTAAAGCTCCAGGTCATAGAGAGAATGTAGCTTAAGTCTTTAAATGGTGTGGCAAGGATGACCTGTGTTTCAATTGCCACTAGAATCCTAATTTGCATCTGTGACTAGTTCCTTGCCCTGACTTGTAAGTTCCCATAAGAATTACCCCAATGCTTTCATGCAGTGTTGCAAGGTTCTTCAAACTCTTTCAACCTTTGCAACGGCTTCTATAAGAACAAAATACTTGGAAAGGGCAGGCAAGATGGTTTAGTGGGTAAAGGCATGTGCTGCTAAGCCTGATGACCTGAGTTCAAGCCCCAGAACCCACACTGTGGAAGGAAAAACTCAACCCCAGCAAGCTCTCCTTTCGACTTCCCCATGCTCACCACAAAAGATCTCCACACTGGAAGTTTCAAAGAACCTTGGGGCTCCTCTTAACTAGAGGCTGCTGATTAGGTGATATAGGTTGGGAAGAGGTAAAATGAAACACACACACACACACACACACACACACACACATACACAAATGTAACTTATTAAAAGTACTTAGAGAAGAGAGACATCCACGTGGGAGGTATTAGTTTTAATTCCCAGACAGAGACAAGAAATCTGAAGCCTAAAAAAGCTATGCCAACTTGCCCTAACTGGCAGAGGAGGTGGCATTAAACTCCAGGCCACTTGCTTTCTCTGGTTTGGTCAGGGAAAAGGAAAAGGGCAACATGGAGTTGACTGAGTTGGAATGCCAGGTCCTGAGAAACCTGGATGCCACGCAAACGATCTCCAAGGACTACAACCAATGGGTTTCTTTAGAAGAAAGCCCTTTCTCAAAAGCATGGGTACTTCCTGGAGCAAAAGTGCCCAGAGGCAACACTCCATCCTCTACCAAGGAAGGTAACTGTGGTTACTTTAAGGGGGAATGAAAAAAAATATTCCTTTGAAAACCAAATACTGGTTCTGCCAATCCAACTTCACTGAGGTCACTTGAGAACCAAGGAGTTCAAAGGTTCTCTATGGCTTCCATTTATTTTGGCATCAGATGTAACAGAAAGGGAACTAAAGGGGAATTTATATGGCCCAGGCTATGTTCCAAATCTCAAACTGCTAAAAGTTACTTAGATTTTTACTTCAGCTCACAATTACATGGAGAGCAGTTCAGATGCAAATGCTTTCCGTGTGGCTTAGGGCAATCTAGGCTTCCTCAAAGGCACATGTGATATTCTTAAGATTTTGTCTGAAAGTTTAAAAAAAAAAATCCCGGGCTCTTAACTGGAGACTGCTGTTCATTTCTGTGACGTTGGGTTGGGAGGAGGTACAATGCAGCATGCTGCCTTCATGTGGTCACTGTGTCCTCACAGTGGTGCTAAGACAGACTTCACAGGCTGAGGGAAGGGCATTCACTCCTGTAAACTGAGTGTGTGGTGTAAATAAACGTCTTCTGAGGATGGCGCACCTGAAACGGGATTCTAAATCTAAGTCCATATGGAGATGCTGATCCATTTTGATGAAAGTAGGCATGGGGCACACAGAGGAGAAAGATGCTCCTGAGCAAAACTGGGCTACCTTTGCAGGATTGTTCACTAAAGGAGGAGGCCACTCCAAACAGATTCAGAATCTTTGACCTTGTAACCAGTGGCTGCCTGAAGTTACTTTTAATTCTCTGGAAGACTGTGATTGTGTGACGAGCCGGGACAGGACTAAACCGCCTAACCCCAAATTAGAAGTGAATGGAGAATAACTTCAGTCTGGATG